CTTTTCTTTTTTTTTTTTTCTTTTTTTTTTGCAAAGATTTGTTTTTATTAACAGATGCTCAAATTACAGAGCAGGAGCAGTTCCAAAAAACAAGGCAAAGAACAAAAACCAAGACCAAAACATAATTAATTAAATAAATAAATAAAATATAAGGATACTATTCCTTAAATATATACAGAGAAGATGTTCTAAAACTAAACCTTAGGGACATTTTGGGGTACAATCATATGTTAATAAATTCATGAATGGATCAGAAATCATCAAAGTTGTGAAATATAGCAGCCCTTTCTGCCATTAAAAATCACCAATAGAAGCTTCTGAACACAACCGGACATGTATTGTAATGTTCCAGCAGGAATGTTACCAGAAATCGAGGAGAAATTAGCAACATCTGCAACCAAGATGACATGTTTCCCTGATGTTAGCATGTGGCTACATGTAGCAGTGTATGTAATGTTAACACTTGCAGTGTCTTGCCAGGAGCCGATGACTATATAAATAAATCTGTTATGAGCTGATGTCAGCTTGTAGTCAATGTAGATGTTTTAGTTATAATCTTGACAGTGACTGTAAAGACAAACTACAAAACAAATAATTTTTTCTTTGTATGTGTTTTTATTTTCCAGCCTTGCAGTCCGGTGAAGTTTCCGGTTGTTCAGATGAGTTTAAGAGCCTCCTGTCAGCGCCAACACCCGGAGCGCTACAGCTGAAGCAGCACTTGGCAAAGGGGAGCCAATCAGGTACACAGCCTGGAAATATTTCTGTGCCTCTCACTACTCTGGCTAAGAATGAATGAATGACTTTTCTTTTTTTTTAAATGCCCTTTCCCTCCTTGGAGTACAAGACACCAATATTTACAGTACAAGTGCTGCTCATAAATCAACCCAGGTGATCTGATATAAAGTGACAATACCAGCAATCAACCAACCCTTACTGTTACAAAGTTTTCTTTCTGAGATTAAAAGATCACAAAATGTCCAGTACAAAGGACGGTAAAAAAAAAAAAGAGAGAGAGAGAGAGAGAGAGATGTTAATTTGGATCTCAGAGCGATGTTCTGTTAAAGAGCTGTGAATTTAACCTGTTAACCATCTTCAGTCTCCAAAGGTGCAGCTCCAGTTCAGTCTTTCTCAGCCTCGGACCTGCTGAAACAGCAGAAACAGATCCAGCAGGAGTTTCGGCAGAACCGTTGGCGGAGGGCAGACGAGATCCAGAAGAGGGTGCTGCAGAGCTCAGCTGGGCCAAGTCCCAGGTTGTCGTCGTCCTCCTCCTCACTGGGCCAGAATGGTCTCATGTCCCCAAAAGCTGCTTCCGAGGTCCCCAAGGCCACCCGAAGCCCCGCGGCCCCTCACACTCCCACCCTGGGCCGAGGCTTCTCTGAGGGGGACGACATCCTGTTCTTTGAGAACAGCCCACCGCAGGCACCCGCCCCCAGCGCTCTCAGCCTGTCAGCTGCCAAGCTGGCTGCTCTGAAGAAGCTGAGAGCCAAAGGGGCGGGGCTTGAAAAGGAAGACCCCAACGCCGTGAAGAGAAAGAGGAGTAACGACAGTGAGATCAGCGCCCGAGTTGAGAAGAATCTGACATCACCAAATGGTACAAAACTGCTGTATATCTCATCTCTGCTGAAGCACAATATAAACCTAACTGATTGTAGATATTTGACTTGGCAGCAGCTCAATAAAATCATTTAGTTAAAACAGATCTGGCAGCTCTCTGATAAATGTGAAGAAATTTTGGCACTGGATTTAATTAGTAAAATGTAGAATTCTGCATTCAAATTAAGTCATATATAAAATGGCTTTACTGTTGATTGTTAACCCCTTACTTTTACTTTCTGTGCAGGTGAATCGTGCAGTAATGAGGATGACGAACCAGCCCAGAAGAAGAAGCGGGATCAGCAACTTTACATCCAGTCGGAGGAGTTTCAAAAGATCCTTAACGCCAAATCGCGCCATGGGGCTGCACTACAGGCGGTAAGACAAGTGGCACTTTATTCCATTCAACAATTAAAACGTATTTTGATTTACTGCTGTTGCACAAAGTAGATCCGATTTCCACAAAGCCAGCTTGATTTCTAATTAAAATATTGTAAAACATTTCATGTGATTCTCCTCGCTCTCAGGCGGAGTACCAACTGCAGGAGAAATACTTTGATCCTCTGGTGAAGAAGGAGCAGATGGAGGAGAAGATGAAGGGCATCAGAGAGATGAAGTGTCGTGCTGTTACCTGTAAAAAGGTACTGAGTTAAATGTACAGCCATTTGGTTCAGATATGCAGGATTCATACAGTCATGGAAAATCTGGAAAGGTCATAGAATACCTTAATCTTGTTTTCCAGGCCTGGAAAAGTCATGGAATTAGTAAAATCCTTGAAAGTTTTGGATAAGTCATGACATTTTGTTGTGTGTAGTTGTGCGCTCTGTGTATGCCAGCTAGAATAAAGTTGGATGGGAGATTTTTTTTTTCTTAAAGGGACAATGTATTGACTGTGACCATAGTTTTAAGTTAGAAGTAAGCAAAGTAAGCTCACATTTCCCATGTTCCTTTGCTTCCAGTGTAATTATACCTACTTCAAGCCGGCGGATCGCTGTGTGGAAGAGAATCACAATCTGCGGTGGCATGACGCCATGAAACGTTTCTTCAAATGTCCTTGTGGACAGAGAGCCATCGCTCTAGACAGACTGCCGAACAAACACTGCACGTAAGGATCTTAATGTCCCTCAAATTGCTGTTGTCTCTTTCTTGTTCCTTTAATGGTTTTTTCAGGGCTACATCTGCATTATGACTAACGTTGTTTTACCATTTCAGTAACTGTGGTCTGTTTAAATGGGAGCGTGATGGGATGCTGAAGGTAAAATCTCTCTCTGACTCACAGATTACCTCTCATATTATCGTGAAAGAAAACAAACCTGATGTCGCTTTATATGTTTTATTGCAGGAGAAAAAGGGGCCGAAGATCGCCGGAGAGCTTCTCCTGCCTCGAGGAGAGGAGCACTGCAAGTTCCTCAACAGCCTGAAGTGATGGCACCAGGACAGGATCTTTAGTAGCATTTTTATATTTGTATGAATTATGTTTTTAAAGTTTGATGTTGTGTTGTCATTATTCATTATGTGATTTGAATGTCTGGTTAAATTGCTAATATGCTGGAAATAAGATGATTAAAGAAATAATTTGCAACATTTCATGTCAAATGTGTGTTTCTGAAAAGCTGAGCACAGGACCTGGGACGGATCTGGAAAGTATGGAATCATATAATGTTGAACTCATTTCTATGTTATTTGACGGAATAGTAATGAATGGTTTCCTGACTGTTGGTCTAATAGTGATTTATTTTACTGAAGACATGTCACAGACGGAAAAGCACAGGTGTAAATAATAAAATCAATGATGACTCAATTCCATTAAGCTGCTTTAGATCAGGGTCCTGATATTGTGTGACAGCTTACTGGGAAACACAGAGCCACTATTAATGTTATTAGTAACAGCTGTGCTTTTCCTACTGTGATGAGCCAAAATGTCTGCTGTGCAAAAGGCCTGTCCTTTTAGATACAAGCTTAAACACAAACCCAACTTCAGCTTTTTCTTTTTAAATATTTCTTGCCTTCAATATACAGTATAAAAAACATCAGTCATCCAGTCAGCATATACAAAATATGATACTCCATCACTCCATGTGTTTACAATAAAGTACTGGGTTGTGGTGGTTGGATGAGGAATGATATCTTCTACAGCTGAAAGAAAATAGCTCCACTTCTAGGTATACTGCGTAAGTAGTTCAAATTGGATCAACAGAAAATCTGAAGAGGGTGTCACAATGTGGAAATGTGATCTGAGTAAGAATGGGCATTTTATTAAAGGTAGGTAACCTATGTTGTTTAGCTTTATGCTATATTTACCTTTCAATCTATAGCAAATTGACAAAAAAAAATCCTGCCTCAAACATGTTGGCAACAATATGTAATCATAAACTTGATTGCTATTGTTTTTTTATTTACTGCATGTGTTTGATGATTGTTTCTTTGTGTGCACAACTAGGTTTCCAGCAGCTACTGTCTGGACAGAGGACTAAAAAAAAAAAAAAAAAATTCAACAGTCTTAAATCATCAATGGTAGGTGCAGTTTTTTTCCTTTCAGAATCTGAGGACTTCTTTCTGCAGTCAAACCTGCATCTAAGTTTAGAAATCATACCATGCAACAGCAGCATTATAATTTATCCACCCATACAATGAGAAGCACGTTCAAGACACACTGAGTTTAAGTAAAGGGATGTGGTTATCATGATACACATCTAAATCTACGGAAGCCAAGAAAGGCCATGCTTGCAGTTATTTTTTAAGGCCATTATCTCAAGATCACAAGTTAATTATTTCAAGATAACAAAGCATATCTTCTTGATTTGTCACAAGAAAACAACTTGTCTTGATTTGGGATAATAACACAAATAACACCTCACTTGACCACAGTATAATTATCCCTTTATCTTAAAACAAAAGTTATTTTCTCGTGACTATTTTGTTACCCTTTTGTTATCACAAGAAAAAAACTTTGGTATTCAAAGATAATTAATCTGTGATCTTAAAGTAACTGCATACAAATTGCAATAATGGCCATTCTAGGCTTCCATAAAAGCCACATCTGAATGATCAGGTGTTCATTTGGGTCACATCCAGCCACACTGGCCAAGGCTGCTGGGTTGTTGAAAGGTAAACTGGGGAATGTTGGAACAATGATGCATATTTAAAGAAGGCCCATTGTTTTTAAGGGTTTAATTTGTGCTTATTATTCTACTGCTACTATGTTTCCTTCTCTCCACCTCCTCTGTCTCTTCTTTGCCCAGTTTGTGTCTAATATTTCCACTCAGGAATGTGGAATTCATCTCCGCCTGATGACTTCTGCAGCTCACCTCATATTCTCTTTTATTCCACTGTGCCTCCCTCCCGTTAAATACTCCAAATACCAGACGGTGCAAGCAGTGAGTTAAAACACATCAGAGGTCTGGGAATCAGGAAACTCATCTTTATTTGTCATTTTGACTTAAAGACATAAAGTCAGGTTCTTTGCAAAAATAAAGCGATAATCAAAGTCAGCTGTTAATGTACTGAGTTGATATATTGCTGCTAATACCACAGGCTGATATAAAGGACACTCTGTGTAGCTTATATGTACATGTAGTAGAGGCAGTAAAGAAGCATGCAAAACATATAGCCTCCATTAAATATGATAGTAGTAGAAGTTTAGCTTACAATACAAAAACTGCACTTGTAATACATTATACAGTTTGATGTGGAAACATATTGCACAATTTAGGTTTTCATAAAAAATAAAAAGCATAGAAAACCTTTTTCTTGTAGCTTTAAAGTAGAAATATAAACATGGCTGCCTTTGGTAGCTACAGGTGATGGCAGTATTAGCACTGCATCAACGAGAGGTGCTGTAGCCCGGCCCTCCATGCGACACAGTGTGCTCAGTGGAACCAGTAGTAGCGAGGATAGAGGCCGTCGTACTGATACTCTCGATACTGCTCGTGCGTCTCTCTTGATCTCTCAGTTTGCTCTGTGGATAAAAAAGTGAAAGTGGCGATGATTAACATTTTACTGTTACCAAAGAATCATGACTGTATAGCAGGGGTGGATAGTAGTGAGAATTATCACCGGACTTTGCATTTCAGAGGAGCTTGCAGAGAGACCCAATTAGTGACTAGCTAGTGAACATGGTGGAGCATTTAGCACCTAAAGAGGCAAATATTTCCCTGAGGAGTTACCAAAACAGGCAAAGATAAGAAACTCGATTAGCTAACATGCTAATGTTGTTTCGTGCCTGCTGGATTTGTAGAGGCAGCTCTTTGCTGACACGTTCGCCATATCAGCTTTACAAGTTTATAATATGTCAGTGTTTAAATAAAATGTATGTAAGAACAAGGGCAAACAATTCTTGCTAAAAAAAAAAAAAAAAAAGAAGTTTGTACTTATTACGGCTAATGGTAGTGCTCCAAACTGTTAGCATTTAGCTAGCTGTTTGTGATGTTATGTTTGTGAATGATCCCATTCTTCTTAATGCCTCTTCAGTACGAACGAAGGAAACTAAGTCATATTTGATGAGAGCAGTTCTTTTTAGTCTTGTGCCCAAATTTCACTGCCAATAAAAAAATTTCTAATATTAAGTTTTGCATGAATGGTATTCAAAGCAAGGCAACTTTATTTACATAACATTTCATACAGAGGGTAAATTCAAAGTTGTAATTTCACTGACAAAGTGGTTCCTAGTCCACACGTGCAAGATGAAATTATATTGGTGTCTAAGTTTGAATCTGATACAAATCATACCCTATCATTATCCTACTGATTATTTCACAGATAAACCGAGTAAGCCAGCATCTGTGATGGTATGGAGGTGTGTTAGTGCCCATTGCATCATGGGTAACTTGCACATCTGTGACAGCAGTGCACCATGAATGCTGACAGGTACATCCAGGTTTTGGAGCAACATATGCCGCCATCCAGATGACGTCTTTTCAAGGACGTCCCTGTTTATCTTAGCAAGACAATGAGACACATTCTGCACATTTTAATTTTCTAAATTTCTGTCAACTATATCTCCCATTTGGTGAAACCAACTTAGAATGCAGCAAAGCAGCCATAGCTACATAAAATTCAATATTAACACTAATTTACAGGATTCAGCTAACAAATTTGTGTTTGGTTCCACTGTAAATGAACTGCTACGAATATATATCAATATAAACTAATCTCAGGAGATTTATGTTCATCCCCTTGTTCTGCCAATTGTACTGACATCATGTACATAAAGCATAGAGTCAGCCAACAATCTAGAAATGTGAAAAATTTGAGTTTTGTCATCTTTACTTTATGACCAATCAGCCAGTTTCTACAAAACCGTAGTGTGTTGTGTGGCCTGGTTGGGGACCTTTTTGTTTTCCTATAACATCTCATTGTCCCAAACCACCAAAAACACTGTGTATCTTACATATAAAACCCACTCACATCTTTATGGTTAGCAGTTCTTAGTTTAGAAACTGTCACTGCAACTATATCACGCCAGACAGACAACCACAGGGAAGATTGTCAGCTTGGGGTCGACCACAAATTGACACTTTGATTTGGTGTGGAGTCTCAGGCACTCCGCTGTGGTCCAGAGGCTCGTGGGTGCCGAGAGATTCATTCAAGACCCAAACTCTGTTTCCCCTTCATGTGTTCTCTCTAGCGAGTCCTCTCGTGACGACTGGCATTCAAGTAAATCTTAGGTTTTTCACAAGGATGTGTTTACTGATACAGAGCCTCTGTGCTTTATCTTTATGCTTAATTTAGTGTCTTGGAACAAAATGTTTCTGTGAAACACAAGATGTTAAATGTATTTTCAGTCCTCTGTGAAAGGGGTAAAAGTTAGGGTTTGATGGAGGGATATTTCTCTATTATTTCACATAAGTTGGAATTAATTTCTTCTTTTGTTTGTCTGTCTGCCGTTTTGTCAATTATGCATTTTGATGATTCAGTTTGAGAGAAAGTGGACTCAAGAGGAAAGCATTTAACATGGAACTGAAAGCAGCTGCATCCAGGTCTCACCTTCATGCAGCTCCCTGGTGTAGGTGTGGTGCTCATCCACCTGCTCCTCATTGTATTCCCTCCATCGTTCGTTTGCAGCAATCTTTACCCTCTGCTCGGCTGTGGAGAGAGGAAAGGAAAGAATACTGATACTGATAGATGAAGGTCGGTGTACCATTTTGGTCCGAACTGAAATATCGCAACAGCTATGTGATGAATAAACCTTTGCAGTCATGGTTCCAGAGGATGGGTCCCCTAACCCTAATGACTTTGGTGATTTCCTTACCTTTGCTCTAGCCTTACCAGAAGGTTGAAAGATTCACTTGTCCTGAAAATCTCAACATCTACTAGATATTTTAAAATGTTCTACAGATATTCATGGTCCCCAGAAAGGAAAACCTATTGGCTCCAATGAGCCCTTGCCAATTTTTTTCTGGTGCCAGATCACGGGGACAGCAGGCAGAGCAAAGCACCCCAGACGTCCCTCTCCCCAGCAATGCTTTCCAGCTCCTCCTGGGGGACCCCGAGGCGTTCCCAGGCCAGTTGACTGACCCTTTTTCGAAGCGAAGGAGCAGCGGCTCTACTCCGAGCTCCCTCCGGATGTCCGAGCTCCTTACCCTATCTCTAAGGCTGAGCCCAGCCACCCCACAGAGGAAACTCATTTCGGCCACTTGTATCCACAATCTCATTCTTTCGGCCACTACCCAGAGCTCGTGACCATAGGTGAGGGTAGGGACGTGGATGGATGAATAAATCAAAAGCTTTGCCTTCTGGCTCAGCTCCCTCTTCACCATGACGGTCTAGCGCCAAACCGCCGATCCACCTCATGCTCCATTATACCTTAACTCGTGAACAAGACCCTGAGATACTTGAAATCCCTTGCTCGAGGCAGTAACTATCTCCCAACCCAGAACTGTGAACTTTCCCTTCAACGTTATTACTGCTTAACATCAGCATGTTAGCATTGTCATTGTGAGCATGTTAGCATGCTAATGTTAGCATTTAGCTCAAAGCATTGCTGTGCCTACAGCCTCCCTGAGTCTTGTTAACCTTGAGAACACTGGAAAACCTTTAACAGAATCAAACTTCTTAAACTCTGATAAGCCAAGTTTGAATAAGTTCCTCATGTTTACACAGTTAGATTTACATAATATTGTACGCTGGGTCTAGTTAGGTGTTAAAACAAATACATGTGGGTCACCCCTTCGACTTACTGTAATGTATTAGAAATGTGTGTAAACACCCACACTTCCGTCCTGCACCCTCAGTTTGCAAAACCAAACACCCCCACCCATGCCGGCACACGGCAGCCACTGTATGCATTAGACATTACTAAGCTGTCTGAGTTTTTCTTTAAGTACTTGAATCACAACAAGCTTGTGTTGGGATTACATCACAACATTTCATGTAAACACAGACCTGTATCCACTCTGCAAACGTATTTTCCCTCCAAATAGGCCAGTTACTTGGGGCTTAAGTGTACTGTAGGAAACATGGCACACACCCATCTTCACACTAACTCCATGTGTAAAACTACCTGTTCTGTTCTCTTTGATGCTGCAAATTCATCACAGTTTCCAAAATTAAATATGATCAGCTCCTTCTGGGCTCCTTTCTTAGCTGAGGGTTAGATTATTGGCGTTATTTACTTTGGTAAGAACTGAACAGAGGCAGGATCTGACATAAAATCCTCCCATGATAGAGTTTTTTATTTCCTCATGAGCATTTAGCCCTCTAATATTGAACACAGGTGCTAAAGTGATTAGAAGAATAACAACAAAAACGTTATCTTTTCCAACGTCAATAAAATAATATCCCTTTGTCTTTCCTAACCACTTCTCCTTGACCTCAGATAAGATCATAAGCTAAAGGAGATGTATAAGACGTGGAAATAACAACCATTGCTATTAGAAAACTGCACTGAAGTCACAGTTGGTTGCGCAATCATCCAACATCTGTTGGAAATATTGCATTTACCCAATTTGAGTGCTGCCTTTTAAATAATGGAGCAATGCAGCAGGGAGAGAATGTCTATTTTCTTGGACTAAATTAGGTGAAAACGATCATACAAGCATTTCTCACAATTGCCCTGAGTGCCTAAACAACCTGTGCATACCTTTCTGGCAAAAAAAAAAAAAAACAGTCCCTTAAAACACTCACTCAGCTGCCCCCTTCACTTCTTATGAACTGTGTTGGCAAGGGAAATAATCAGCCCTTTTTTAAGTGTTTTATTTTTTCCCAAGAATGTGGGCCTGGTTGTCCAGAGCCAAGTCCCAGTCTGGTGCTCTGATTGCTGGGCAAGGTGAAATGACCCACAGCCTGTCCCTGGAGGACTTCTCTGATGGGTTTTCCACCATAAAAGAGATGTATTAACAAGGACTTACTTTACCGAAAAGATGAACATCACTGCTGTCAGCAGGATTTTTGCAAATCTGGGCATTTTTATGCTTTCATCTCAAAGCCAAAGGAAGACAAAAATCCTGTTATGATTTTTTGAAAAGTTATTTTGGTGATAAAGTATGATGATAACTTCCTGTATTCGGAAACACTGGAACACATCCGTGTGTTTGTTCATGTGGTCTGAGGTGTGTTGGCGTTGTGTATCGCACTGATGCTGGCAGTGGAAGAATGAGCTTATTGTACAGAGAAACGGAGCGCAAGAGAGAGCCTGCTCCATACTACCCTGTGCCTCCTTCTGCAGCCTCCAGCCTGCCTGTATATGTCTGTGTGTGTGCACGCGTGTGTGTCAGATTAAAGAGCTGCTACTGTATCGATCACCTGCTTGAGTTTTCCATTACTCTGTTTTACTTACTACTCTCTTGAACTTTCACAGCTAGCAGTCAAAACCTCAAACCATATAATCCTCAGAGTCCAACTACAAACCAATAAACCAACACTCCTACACACCTCACATACAGTGCTTTCAGTATGGAAGGCCAAACATGCCATATTTAAGACTGTCCACAGTGTGGCCACATCAACCACATGTAACACCAAATTTAAATAAATATAACTCACCTACCCCTATAGTCAGAAAAAACACTTTACTCTTGATCCAGCTGTTTATCTGCCAGTGAGATGATGGGCAGCCCTGCCAACTACTCATATCTTTGCCTTAAGGTAGCCAAATAAAAAGCAAATATTGAAGCTCTTACCTTGGAGCTCATAGTATCGGGTTGAGCGCCGACTACGGCGTTTGAAAAAGTTGGTGGCATCTGACTCGGGCATGAACACCTGCCGTGGTGCCCCTAAAAGTCAGAAGTCAGAAGGTAAAGGTCACATACGGAGGAAATGTGGAGCAAGATAATGTGAAATAGTAAAAAGGGTTAAACAGGTATCACCTTTAGGATCGTCTTCCTTTGAGCTGTCCCGCACTGCCGCACTTTCCACCACACTGGAAACTGAGGAAAAGGTGAAATAATAAGTTCCTGTCTATAGGGCCAGTTTTATAACAATATTATTAAAGAAATGCATGTCAACATTTATAGAAACATATCTCAATAAAAAAAATTCAAACACTTGCTTATTTCTGTATCCAAATGATAAAGTGAACAATGAAAACCTCATGTATCTGGAATAAACCCAAATGTCTAGAGAAAGCCTCCTACTTCTTAATTTAGCCTGTTTGTCTGTGGAAAAAAGTACTTAAATTGTCCTGTACATGGTGCTACTGCTTCAGTTTACTGTTAAAAATCACATCTCAAAGATAATACAAAAGAAACAGCAAACAAAAATACATGTAGGAGAAAATATAGGGAAGAGAAATTGCGTCACACAAGATTGATTTCACAGGCAGACCTCCATCGCTGCCAATATACAGAAGATTGCGTGGGTCGTTTTTGTCCCATTACAAATTATCAGTTTGGCACATTGAAACAGGATTAGAATATCCATAAATATAATTTTTCATGGGCGGCACGGTGGTGTGGTGGTTAGCACTCTCGCCTCACAGCAAGAGGGTTGCCGGTTCGATCCCGGGCGTAGGAGCCCTTCTGTGCGGAGTTTGCATGTTCTCCCCGTGTCAGCGTGGGTTCTCTCCGGGCTCTCCGGCTTCCTCCCACAGTCCAAAGACATGCATACATAGACATTGGGGACTAGGTTAATTGGTAACTCTAAATTGTCCGTAGGTGTGAATGTGAGCGTGAATGGTTGTCTGTCTCTATGTGTCAGCCCTGCGATAGTCTGGCGACCTGTCCAGGGTGTACCCTGTACCCGCCCGATGTCAGCTGGGATAGGCTCCAGCCCCCCTGCGACCCTCAAGAGGATGAAGCGGTTAGAAGATGAATGAATAATTTTTCATAATAGATAATAATTGTAAGATGTCTTGCCTTGCACAGCCTTCTACCAAATTTCACTATACTCACCGTGGTCTGGCAAAGCTTGATTCAAATTAGTGTTGCTTATTGTCGTCATTAACTTTACCACGCCCTGTTGTTCACTGATTGGTCTGAGTCATAGCTGTCCTCTGGACACATGTCCCGTAGTGGAAAATAAGCTGGTGTTCTTGAGTTCAGACTGTTCTTTGGAGAACTATTGGACATCTCCGGGCAAACGTACAGCTTTTTTTTTGTCTCCTCCTCTTGGCTTGTATCGTCAACCGAAGAGGGCTTACTTTCCTGACTTGCGTGTACTCCAGTAAAAACATGACTTAAAGCTTTGATGCAAATATGACAGCCAATTTAATCAGCTTTTATTGAAGACATTGACTTTTGCAACTTTTACAAAAGTTTTAAAGATTGATTCACATTGATACCTATTGCCCCTGAATCAGACTATACAAATGGTTTTTTATTATAAAGCTGAAATTTGAAAATAACTGTGGAACTTACAAATTAATTTTGACAGATTCAAGTTCTGATGCCAAAAAAAGGTCTTAGGTCACACTGAAGCAACAAAATACCAATATTTGTTTTCCCCCACATGAAAGGAGGACCACACATGTAAGTGCTTTATACCCTCAAAACTGTGCTGCTTATCTCCCCTGAGGATGTATAATTAAAAAAACAAAAAAATAAAACCCTGTCTCCACCTTTCTCCCACCCACCCAGAGGTACTTACAGGTCAGGATGAGGAGGGTGGTCACTAAAGAGACCACTAAGACTTGATTCCAGGACATCTTGAGAGTAAAAAAAAAACAAGCACGAACTCTACTGGACTTGACGGCACACCTTACTGAACTGAACTGAGAGAGGAGAGAAAGATGAGGGAGGGAAGGGAGGAAGGTGGCAGAGGCAGGGAGAATGGAGGAGAGTGGGAGGAGGAAGGAGAAGAGAAAGAGTCAGAGAGGGGAGGGAAGTTGCTGGAATATTGATTGCCCAGGGGAAAAAAAGAAGAAAACAAGGAGAAAAAGATGAGTGATGGATTGAGGTGAACTGAAAGAGGAGAGTAGAGCAGAGTGGAAATCAGGATTTAGTAATAGCTAGAAGTCGAAAATCGAGGATACATCACTGTGCAATGATACTGAAAACATTGTAACTGTGATACCCAGAAATCCTGCAGTTTGATTTTTGATTTGATGATTAGATTCGCCAAGAAAAAAATTATAAGAAAGAGATAAGCTTTCTAACAACACGTACCATATCAGACACTTTGTTGCAATTACTGCTAGCTTTCTGTATCTGAATATACAGCAATGTTTGTTACTATGAATATATATTTTTTCTAGTGATGATTTTTTTGGCAGCACAATAAGTTTTAAACAATGACATATTATCGCCTTGTAAAGTTGATATGCGAACTTGTACCTGTTAGAAAATAATTGCCTTTTTACACATGCAGCATACATGGAGCATTATTAGCATTCATTTGGAGTTGTGTTTCTGGATGCCTGATGAATGAAAGTCCAGCACTCACTCTCCTTTTACCTTGTTTTTGGTCTCCACCAGATGCTGAAGGAAATATCTGTCTCTTTAGCTGCTAAATGCTCCATTTTCTTCATTAGCTAGTTGCTAATTTTGATAATTTACAGCTGAGTGCTGGGCAGGTATTGGTTAAATGTGTTTTTTTTTTTTTTTTTAGATAACGGGCTGTTGAGCAAACGTTCTCTTGGTCCAGTGGGACATTTTGCAGACTATTAGATCTTCAGAATTAGGAACCATTGCAACAATTGCAAGTGCTATGTCATGTTTTGTTGCTCTAATTGGTTGTAGCCCTATCCACTTGAGTCCAAAGGTTTGGTCTACGGCTGTTGATGATATGCTTTAGAAATAAAAAGAGAGCTGAGAAGATCCAGACTAACTTTTGTGATGTCAGGCTAGTAGTGAACAGCTGTCTGCTGTGGCCACAGTAAGGGTTAATGAGAGCAGTGAGAATGAACCAAAACAGTAAGGCTGTAGTCCAGATGACCAAAATAATTTGCTGAAAGATGCTAAAATGGTTAGTAGAGTTGAGAGGAACTGCAGAGTTGGTGATTATTATCTGTGGGTTTATCACAATGAGAGACCCCTTTCACACTGCACAGTCATCTGACCCATTGTAAATGTAAAAGTATTGATTAGAACAGCTTTAAAAATGCGGAAGTTGAAGTGAATTATATCCAACCTTCTGTTTCCAAGTTAGTAGTTTTTTTTTACATAGAATCCAGAGTTGAGGAGCAACAGGAAAGTATTATCAAAGGACTTTGCCTCTGTTTCTAATTCCGTGAAATTCAAAGGGGGTCCGGATGGAATATAACAAGAGGTTTGGTGGTTTTGTGACTGCTGCATTATATTAAGTAATCACACCAGCAGGCTGAGCCACAGATTCTTTGAAGAGAGCGGACATCAAATAATGCCACATTACTTTAGTATGTATGCTAGCAATGAAGTGCATCTGTTTGGCCCAGTATTTTCAAATTCTGGGTCATGCTGTCTGAGAGTGGATGACCTGACATGAATGAGGACGTGTCTCTCACCACAAGTACATCAGCTATCAAGGACTCAACCTGGAGGTCAATGGCCCTTTGTGCCTGTAGGATAAGGTTCATACAGACCTCTGTGATAACTGTTTGTAGACAGATGCCATGTTTTTTTATGTATTTTCTTTGTATCATGGGTTTTATTTGACATCACTAAGTTTAAACTGATATTAGGTGAGGTAACAGGTCAGTTTGCAGTTTGAAAATGACAAAGTTAAAAGCGGAAATCCCCTCAAAAGAAGATAATACAGTACTGTATAGGTATAATATTAAAGGTATAGCTAATGTGTGAGGATTGCAAAATAATACCACTACATAACAACACTTAATAACATAGAATTTAACAGACTTTAAGACATACTCTATTGTGCATTGTTCCCTTCCTATATGAATGATGTTTATTTCCTTTGGTAACATCTTGAAGCTGCACTGGACCCATTCATTATCATTCCAGGTAGAGTGATCTCAGGGTTCGACATACCTTATTGCACTAACCTGTGGTTAATGCTACATTACGCTGCGAGCTTTTGAACTGTATGTGCAGAGTGTTGCTTAAATTGAGCGATGCAAAAGTACATAAGTTGAGTTGTCCTTTAACTGTGTGTGATGAAATCTCAAATCTAAAATGTGTGTCAGTTTCCTCCAAAGGAAACTGGGCAGAGACGACTGGCTGCTTTGCTCAGAAACAGATCTGGAGTCTGGGAAACATTTAGCAGTAAATGAACCTGCAGTTAGACCTGTGTGACTGAGACTATTTGCTGGGTGTGCAATGTGTATATATATTGTGTGCAAGTGTGCATGCATTGTTTTTTTGCATTAATGGTTGAATGTATGTAAATGTGTCTGCTTCTCCTAAAGCTTATTTGGTGTTTGGTCATATCATAAAGCCTCCACATTTCAGCTCTTCTCCTGCATGTGAATGGATTTCCTGCATTTCTGAATTAAAGAGCTGAGAGCTTCCCTCTGGGTTTGAACAAAGATGCTGTTTAAACACACCCACACAAAGACACACTCTTAGCTGTGCTGGATCAGGTGTTTCTTAGGGGCTTCGAGCATGGGGATCCAGGAAATAACCGGTCCTCCATCTAAAAACAGCCAAACTCTCTGAGACCAACATGTGACTCAAGTGTCATTCAGTGTTGAGCAGCATTCTCTGATGCACCCAAAGCAGTGTGAATGATTTTAAAATATATGGAAGGCTAATTCAGCTGGAAAATACTGAGAAACTAGTGAAACATGTGCTTTTATGTTTTTGAATTTGGTTTGTCCAGGTTGTTGCTGCCCAGTTCCAGTCCAAACACGGCATAAGCAGACGTCACACGGCTGTACTCGACTGTAACCTGTTTATGTTGTTGTCATGCAGCCAGGTGAGATGTTCAAAACAAATCTGAATCCTGTAGATAAGACTGCACAAGTGCCGATAAGAACAGTCTTACCTGACTTTATTTTGTTTTGCTCATCTTTCAAGCGTGATGATCCCCTTACCCATAATCCCTTGTGTTTTGGAGTTGCTCTCACTGATTCCATAATCTAAAAACTCACTCCTGCTGAACCACAACACAGTTCTCTAGATATTATGCCACCTGGGTTCACACAATGCATTTTACACTTAGACCAATGAGAATTAAATCAAAAACACCATAGATCATAAAGCAATCAGAACATGCTGTCCCTGAATGCAGCCTCTCTCTCTGTCATTGTTGTTTATGTACAATAGTTTTTGTATTGTAGCTCCGTCACTTACTTTGTTATCACATATTACTGTCACAAATTAGATTATTGTATGATACATAAAAATATCATGTCACCTTTTCAATACAACTTTAATTATTCAAGTTTCTCATCAAAACTCCATTTTACAAGTTTACATTTGAACAGAGCTTGAAAACATTATAATGTAACTCAGTGCAACATCTGTGAGCGGTTAGTTGCGGCCACCGGCTGCTTATAGCTTATTGTTAATTAGCTCTCCTGCTGGTTTCAATATGAGTTTGTTGTTCACAATGTGACATCATCAGGGAAGTACACTAAAAAAATCCATTGGTTCAACTTAATAAAAACAAGGTAACAATTTGCATGCAATTTTTAAGTAGTTCCAACACAGCCATATAGAATAAATCCTCTGAATCTTTTATAATCTGACAAACTCGATGAGTTTAGTACAACCAACATGATTTGCTTGACCTTTAAAACTTACTTAAATTGAATCAACTTAATACACTGCTCAAAAAAAATTAAGGGACCACTTAAATCACACATCAGACATTGATGAACTAATTTTTCAAGTTGAAAATTTTTACTGATGTGTTTGTATAATTTGTTGAGAACAAAATGATGTAACAATGGTCAGTGGAAGCCAAAATCATCAACCCACTGAGGGCTGGATTCAAAATCACCCGAAAATCCAAGCAAAACTTTGAAACCCCAGGCTGATCCAACTGTGTGAATTTTACCACGGCAACATAAAATGGGACTCAGAAGTGTGTATGGCCCCACCTTCCTGTATGCACTCCTGACAACGTCTGGGCACTCACCTAATGAGTCAGTGGATGGTGTCCTGGGGGATCTCCTTCCTCACCTGGATCGGCGCAACAGTGAGCTCCTGGACGGTCAGTGGTGGTACTTGGCTGTGTTGGATGCACCCATACATAATGTCCTGTAGGTGCTTAGTTGGATTTAGGTCAGGAGAACAAGAGGGCCAGTCAATGGCATCAGCCATTTGTTCCAATGGGGAAGATCTCTGTTCATCCCTAACACGTTTTCTATTGCCCCCAGGATGACAAATTCTTGAGGCCTGCTTTTTAGCCCGTGCAAAATTGATGTGACACAACAGAAAAACATCAGCTACTGCTGTCAATGATTGTCATCTTATTTGACGACGGGCCGATATAATTGGCCAATACCAGAGGATCCCTAATCATTTATAAAAGCATATAACTGAGTAAAGTACATTACAAGTCAAGGAGGCAGGTGTGTGTCTTTGTGTGTTCAAGAAAACTAAACAAGGTCTCATTAATATAGCAGCCATTTTATTATTAATGTTTTTAAAACATTAAATCAGTCACAGGAAGATTCTAGAAAACAAAAACATCCATTCACTCATCATCAAACATTAACACGTTGATATAATTATAAGGCAGTATAAGGTCAAGGCTTCTGTTAGTGATAATTAATAAGTGCTTCAATCAACACTGATTTCATTATTCTCTCTCAATTTACTTTGTCTCAACCTCGCTCTACCTCTATCACTCACAACACTTACTTTTCTTCATCAACATGCCGTGAATCACATTAACATCCCTTTCTGTTATAGTTTTGGTAAATGAAACAATTAAATAGACGGTCAATGATGCACACACTGGCTGTTACGAGGTAGCTGACAACCTCTATTTAAACAGTATTTCCTGTCTTTATATTTTCTGATAGAACAACATGCTCTAAATTACATTTCCTAAATGTAAACAATCGGTACAAACTCTGAAGCATCAATCAAATAAAGTGATCTACAAAATTACATTCCTCTATCACTAAAGGAAATTAGTGATTGTATGATAAGAATACGCCCTGTTGCTTCTTATGTAATCGCCATATAAATCTGCTCTCATTTCGGCCCTGTGGTTCGTCATCCTGCAACGATGTGGCAGGTTTTCTGTGGCACGTCTTATAGTGAAATCCTCTCTCCTTGCACAAGA